TTACAGTGGGACGAAGAGGTGTGATTGGTTGTATTTGCAAAATTTGGAAAAACAGGATGTACATGATCAATCCCCCAGTGAACTGACTCATGTTCCTCCGTCTGCTCACTCACCAACATGTCTGTTCATCTGAGCTTTCTTCTCATCCTCACTGGACTCACAGGTCAGTCACAGGAATCACTATATACCTGTGCATATATCTTATGCTTCTAAAAAAAAAATAATAACATCAATAACTGTAACTTAATTACTGTAAAACCTTCCAGTTTTGTATTTTACAGATTATGAAGGTAAGAGAAATCTAAGATGTAAAACAACAGCTAGAGTAATATGGGGAGGTTACTTGGGAAGGTCATATGAAGAAAAACTGTAAGTCTATTCATGAGACGATGCATTTGTTCTTGTTGCAGGAATTCACAGCTTAATATCAATATCAGGGGACCCTGGGAGCTCAATCACTCTCACATTTTCCTATAACTCATATTACACGAACCATGTGAAATACTGTTGCAAAGGATATTTTTGGTTGTTCTGCTCAACTGTAGCTCGAACTGATACACAAGATAGTTCAAGTAGGTTTTCAGTCTCCGATGACAAAATCCAAAAAACCCTCACTGTGAAGATGAATAATCTGATGGAGACGGACACTAGTTATTACTGGTGTGCTGTGGAGATTGATTACTGGAGCAATATCACTAAAAAAACATAAGTATACTTAAATGGAATTTCTGACTGTTACCGTTCACATTTGTAATTGAACAAAGAAAAATGGATTAGATTGTTGAATTGATATGTTTCAAATCTGTCTCCTTTTTCTTACCGAGGGGTCAGCTGAAAGGAGTGATGAGGACGTATATATCACGTTATTGGATTGTACTTATTAATGCATTATTGTGTTCAGCACATTTAATGCTGCAGCTGATAAAGGTGGAGCTCATTTTACCTTACAGTATATGCTTATAATTTGAAATACTGCTAGGTATTTTGGGAATTTCCTGCCAGGGATCAATAAAGTCAGATAATTATATTGCATTTTGTATAGTTAATTTGTTTCTGGAAAGTAACTAAAACTGTCAAATATTTGTAGTGAAGTAAAAAGTCCAATATTTGCTTCTAAAATGTAGTCAAGTTAAAGTATGAAGTAGCAAAAAATGAAAATACTCAAGTGAAGTTCAGATATGTCAAAATTGTACTTAAGTACAGTACTTGAATAAATGTACTTAGTTACTTTCCACAAATGCATTTACTTGATTTGTGACAAATAACTAGTAAACAATGTTGTTAATATCCATTTAGATGACTGTTTGAGCAGGAAAATATTTGCTTTAGAGTGATGCTTGTAACTATTGCTACTGCCTTGTTTTAAATAAATGAACAAATTTAAGTCCATATGCTTGGACTGCTGGTCTTTTTTTCTAAAATTTTGTATCCACTGGATCTGACATCTAAGTCTATTGTAAACTTTATTCTGAAAGCACCGTGTAGCTGCATAGATATTTATAAACAGCCTTTCACTGCACAGGATATAGAGAAATGTAAACTGTTGTAATTGCAACTTTAGAAAAATCAAGAAGTAGAGGATACAGTGGGGTGCACTGCTTTGTGTTGTCAGTGCAACACAATGTGTTTTCGCAACATCTTAGCTTTCTTCTCATCCTCATGGGATTCACAGATCAGCCACTACATGCATGCATACAGTAATGGCACATACAGTACATAATAGTAGGTCCATGCCACTAGAAGGCAGTGATATAACATAAAGGACCTCAATTTATAAATAAATAAAGAAATTGTAGTGGTTAAAACAAACAGTTTATGTTCAGCAGTAAATTCTTTGTTAACATATGCTATGGTTTATATATAGATATTAGAATAGACTTCTAGTGTTAGTTGAGGAAAATGTTTGTGTAACAAGGAAAGGTCAGCGACCTTTTGTTCTCTCTCTGTGCTGCTCTGGAGGTTAGTCGGGAGGTCAGGACTTTCCCAAAGAAGGAGAAGACAGTTAGGAGCTGAGGTAATGAGGGAAGAATGCCAGGAAGAGAGGGATGGGAATAAAAAGTAGCAGGAGGGTTGATCAGGCGCTTTTGTGTGAAGACCCCGGGGAGAAGACGTACTCCAGACTACCTGACTTCCTCTGCAGAGTGACAAAGACTAAAAACTAACAAGGTGATCCTGTCTCCCGTCCTCAATCATATTTCAGTAATATTGTTCAATAAATGATTATTGGCACTGCAGTAATTTTCTCTGTGCATTGATTCTACCCACTACAAAATAAAAAAAGAAAGGATGTCAAATGCCGTAAATACTCAGAGAATAAGTTGTACAACGATCCATGCATTTGCCTTGACAAGAATTTTTATTCAGGCACATAAGTGGCCGCCCTGGGTCTTGAGCCTCAATGTGATAGGTCTTGATTTTACTTCTGTGCAGTCTCCTTCAGCTCGCCCTCCAACCGGTGACGCCTTTCTAGGCCGTGCAGCGTGAGAAATATCCCTTAGAAGTGGTTTTGGTTTACCGCTGGTCCAATCTTTTACTGGTAAGAGACCAATTTATTCAGTTCTACACTGTTAATCTATTCCCTGACAGTCAAGAATAAGTGTTCATGCGCGGTTTACACACGCCGGTACTATGCAAGCTACAAAGTTAGCTAGCTAAGCTAGATGCGTTCAGCATGCTGCGTTTAACACATGTAACAGTTAACGCTAAATCCGGACAGCTTTGAGCATATGTTTCTGAGAGACGAGTTTTATAAAGCTGTTTCATAAAGTTACTCTAAGGGAGTATTAAAAAAACTACGTGTTAACTAAGTTTTCGCGTTATTTTCGTCAACCTCCATGTGGCCTAGTTAGCAGGAGTAGCTAGTAGTTGTGATAATGCGAATGAATAGTGTAATTAACACACCCTATTAGCAGCACCTGACACACTCCTTGACACACCTAGCTGTGCCTGCCAGTCAATATGTAGCAGTAACACTTCATTTGATGAGAGCAGGATTTGACCTGGATAACCAGCCCAGTAAAATGGCTCCTGACTCTCAGTAACCTTGCTCGCAGGCTCTCATACATTTGTTCTGCTGTGACTACCTGCAGAACCAGAATGCTGTTACTGTGCCAGGCGTTAATGCAAAATGCAAAGTCGTGATTAACATAGATAAGATTTTAAAAGTTTGACAATTTACACCCTAAACCTAGCAACACGAAACTGCTCCCAACTGTATTTTCACTGTTTATTATTTGGCTGGTACAGTACAAACACAGTATGTGCAGCAAGACAGGCTGTCATAAGTCTTTCATCCATAAGGGACAGGAATTTGTGCCCTAAGGCCCAAATGTTGTGTTCTTTGTCATATAAAGACTGCATTTGCAGTTCTTATATCATTGTTATGCATAGAGTTAAAATTGGAGATTAATTAAGGTGATCATGGGATTCTGGAAAAATAATAGCATAATGATTTTTATTCCACATTACTCTTTGGGTTTCTTTATAACCAGGCACAGACTGGTGGAAGTGCACTTGTGATTTAAGCTCTGAGTTTTGCTCCTGTCTACAGATACAATGGCTGTACCTCCCTCATATGTTGACCTGGGCAAGTCTGCCAAAGACATCTTCAATAAAGGCTATGGTATGAGTTCATACAGTTGGACAAAGTACTACTGTGATGTTGAGATTTCTGCTGTTAAGCCCAGCTGGTATACAGACAAACTTTGAATTGATTTGAACATTTCTCTCTCTCTCTCTGTTTTTTTTTTTTTCCTCCTCCCAGGATTTGGCTTGGTGAAGCTTGATGTTAAGACAAAGTCAGCCAGTGGAGTGGTAAGGTCATTTCTTTGTGGTGACTTTTTCATAAGTCACCAGAGTGATGAAATTGAGCTCAAAACTAGAAATTAAGTTCATGTAGAATGATGTAATTTGCAATATTAAAGAAAATGTGCTAGTCTTTTCAGAATGCCTGACCATGTACTTTACAAGGACTGCAAGTTATCATTAATAAATACTTCATATCAAACAGAAGTTGTTCCACTTTATTAGAGAGGCTTAAACCTTTGACTGTAACTTAAACTACCTAATTGAAAATTAAACTTTATAATAGGTTTTCTGTCAAAGACCAGTTGTTTCAGCTCTCTAGGTAGGTTAATTTTTTTTTTTTTTTTTTATCAATCAATGGATTTTTTTTTTTTTTATTACTAGCCCAGCTGAGGTATGACTTGTGTAATGAACGAGCACTTGTTGAGTTTCTTTTTTTAAATATTTTATCTAGAGTCACATGACCTTAAGATTTGAGTGCCATTTCTCTAAAAATGTCTCTTTCAGGAATTCAAAACCTCTGGTTCCTCCAACACTGATACCAGCAAAGTTGCAGGCAGCCTGGAAACTAAATACAAGAGGACAGAATATGGCCTGACCTTCACTGAGAAGTGGAATACTGACAACACCTTGGGAACAGAAATCACTATTGAAGATCAGGTTAGTAAAATATTTGAATGTTTTTGGGACCTGTTGAAGGGGAGTGTCTCTACATTGACAATAGCAGGACCACGTTAACTTCTTTGAATGTGAATTTTCTATTGTTTGTCTTAGATCGCCAAGGGACTGAAGTTGACTTTTGACACAACCTTCTCACCGAACACTGGGTAAGATGATGCTTAAAATTAATAAATCCTAAAATATATCAAAATGAGGACTGGAGCAATAAATAACATCAGCGTAACACCTGCAGTGTTCTTAAAATGGTTTAGGAATGCCACTACTAAATGTTGTGTAATACTGACTGAGTGCATGCAGGTTACTTTGCTATTATTTGAGGCAGGCACATAATTATGTTTTTATTGTGCTCAAGACAGACTCTATGCAGACAGGTTCTTGTATATGTATGCATGTGTGCACAAAAAATTGTAAATGTAAAGTCTTTGCAGTAGAGATGTGACAAAAGTTCGTAATATTTCTCATTCAGGCAAAATCTGTCTTGCGATATTAGTACATAACAGAACTGGTCCATTATGACAGAGTGTTAGCGGGCATTCAGACTGTTAAGTGTATCATCACACCCCTACTTTGCATCCCGTACTTATTACTGGCCTATGATATACCCTAGGGAATGTAACCTGACCCTCCTATAAATAGTTTTTTTGTTGTTGTTGTTGTTGTTGTTGTTTTGTAATGGATAATCTGACTCGACTGGAATTTCAGTTTGAGGTTGACCATTTGCTGTGCTTATCACTAACAGCAAAAAGAGTGGCAAAATTAAGACGGCTTACAAGCGTGAGTACGTTAACGTGGGCTGTGATGTGGACTTCGACTTTGCTGGCCCCACCATCCATGGAGCTGCTGTCGTCGGCTATGAGGGGTGGCTAGCCGGTTACCAGATGAGTTTTGACACTGCCAAATCCAGGATGACCCAGAACAACTTTGCCATTGGTTACAAGACAGGAGACTTCCAGTTGCATACCAATGTGTAAGTAGAATAAAATGTTCACATTTGAGAGTATTATTTTTGATTAAGAAGGCCAGATTAAGATTGAAAACTAAATTATCAAGATCTAACATGGTACAAACCTACATTGCTGTGCATAGATTGCTGTTGTGACAGACTAACCCAGCAACCATACAACATACCGGCGTGGTGAGAAAAAAAAAAAAAAAAAAAAAAAGCAGTAGAGCAGCCTCTTCCAGTTCAACACAGCAAGAACTGTTGGGTGACGAAAGGAAAAACCACTACAGGGTCTTACTCAGGTGTTGGGCCACCACATGCCCCCAGAATAGCTTCAGTGCTCTTTGGCATTGACTCTACAAGTCTCTGGAACTCTGGTGGATGGAGGAACACAAGATAGTCCTTTATTTGATGGTGGTGGTGGAGACACTGTCTAACACGTAGGGCCGAAATCTTCTATTTCGGCCCTATGTGTTATGTTCAGTGGGTTGCGGTCTTGACTGTGAAGGCAGTAGCATATGATTCACATCATTTTCATACTCAGCAAACCATTCAGTGACCCCCTCATGCCCTATATATGAAGCCATTGATATCCTGGAAGAAACCACTGTTTCCTCCTTTAATTTGTCACCCTCCTATAACTGATTATGAACTTTGACTTGTTTCACTCAGAAAATGTTTACTACAAGTGAGAAGAGGTTCCAGTTTTTATCAATATTGTTTGCTCCAATTTGAGAACATGTTAAGTGTTGGAATGGAGAAGTGTTTTCATGATGTCCCTTAATTAAACTACAGTGAGGACAATGGGCCTGTTTTAGCCATGCCAAGAAGCTGTTATTAATTTTCAGTTAATCACAAATAAGTTGGTGTCCAGGGTTGAGCAGTGTACCATATTTTGAAGCTTTCTTCTGACTTATGAAATTGTTTTAAATTTTGGACAAATAAAAACTTAAAGTGAATGAATGTTTTTTACAAGGTAATGTCACCCTTTTAGTTAGAACTTATTTCTCTTATGCTTAATCATCTTTAAAGCAATGATGGAGCTGAGTTTGGAGGCTCTATCTACCAGAAGGTGAGTGACAAGCTGGAGACTGCAGTCAACCTGTCCTGGACTGCTGGCAGCAACAGCACACGCTTCGCTATTGCAGCCAAATACCAACTGGATAAGGATGCCTCCATCAGTGTAAGTGATGTGGCAGAGGATTCCAGAGAACAGTGGATGATGCAACTAAAACCTGTACAGTTAAACTGACTTTTGTGATGTGTCTCTTCTCCCCCCCACCCCCCCGTGGGCTAAAGTGAACAACAATAGTCTTGTTGGTGTTGCATACAGCCAGACCCTTAGACCAGGTAAGTTTGTTTTCTACAGGTTTACAGACAACAGATGTTTACAGTTAAATACCTCTATTTTTAGTTGCCATTCTGTATCACACTTCAGGACCCTCCAAGAGTCCTTTCACACAGCATTGAGGCGATGTTCTATAAATGAGTTGACTGAGAAAAGTCATTTACAGCAACACTAAAGCCTACACTTTCAATTGGCTCTCATTCTCAGAAGTGTGACCTGTGGTTGAGAGAGTAAATGTTGTGTCACATGTAAGCTAATGGTGCTTCCTCTTACCCACGCAGGTGTGAAGCTCACCCTGTCTGGTTTGGTCGATGGAAAGAACATCAATTCAGGTGGCCACAAGCTGGGTCTGGGCTTGGAACTGGAAGCCTAAAATTTACTCATGCTGCATGGGACTAGGGAATATCAGAAGGATCTGGCCTTAAAGTATGTCCCACCGAAACCAGCAGGGGCATGTCTTGGAGATAGGTTCAAAGGCTGCGACAACAGACTCTTAAATTGTTGAGTACCACTTCAAGTTGGTGCTTCTGTCACTGGTATATTTTACCCTTGTTGCTTTTTACTTTGTAGTTGCATCCATTCAGGAGACAGTTTATGGCATATTATTTATAAATTATTTCAATGTTCATGTCCAGCACTGCCGTAATAATGAAATACAGTCCCTTTGCCTGTCATCAAATCAGTGTGGCTTTATTGTGATAACCCCAGACAATTTTTTTTTTTTATTTTTTTTTTTTTTTTTGGGTGAGGAAATTTGTCGACAGTTTTGTGATGAACCTTGTCATACCTTCTAATTTTACAGTCCTGACCATCTGATATTTCTTTGTCATCTAAAGTTTTAGTTTACACTAGGCTTTTTCTTGCTATTATTTAAATACTGCTGCTGCACCCTTCCCAATCATACACAAAAGGAAAAACTAAAGCTCTGCAATTTTTTTATTCTGCATTGACCACCAGGGTTTGTGATTTTCTGTTAAAGCTGCGCATATGAACTTCCCTTAAACTGGGCAGTTTTTGGGTTGCTCAGAGTTGGTTTGATTAGAAACCTGTGCACTTTGCCAATTGAGCAGTTTTTGTTGTAATTACTGACAATGTAATATTCATATTAATGCCAAACTATCACTGTCCAGAAGAGGTGTAACTTAAGGTTGCACGTGTGCACTCTCAAAAGTGCTTCCATGTACTGGGTGCATTTGGAGCCCACAGGAAGACTTTTAGGTCTTTGTGTATGTATAAATTTTCAATAAAGTCTTTGAACTCACAGATGCATTTTAATTTATGCCATTAACAGCAGCACATTTTCTTACTGTAGCTTAGAGGCCTGTGTCAGTCGGCTGTAAATGGTAAAATGTGTGCAAATGGAATGTATTCACAGACAAGTGAATGATAACTTTTGGTATTTTAGTACATTTTTGTACAGTGCAAAACCTTGAGCCTGTACATTTCTAACTTTTCTGTACAGTTATTTTGACAGCTTGATACCAAAAAGAGCATGAAAGCATGCTTCAAAAATCCTGCAAGGTTTTTACAATACTGTGGATTCAGTGTCTTCTTTTGAAGGATAAGGCCGGTCAGTCCTGGATCAACTTATTCATCAGTGTCGTAGATCTTCATTAATACTCCAAAACGAATCAAAGCACATCAGTGAAACACACCAATGCACTGAGTGAAATATTTCTTCGTTAGCCAGACCCAAGCATGAGCTCTGAATCATGCTAACTTCCAGAAATTATGGTCACTCTGAGCCTATGGGGCAACATAGTTCGTTCTGGGGCCCTTGTAATGGAAAAACATCACCCAGTGCAATGGTGTGTTTCCCTGATGTGTTTTTAATTAAAAAAAACGATTTAGCATAGACGAGCTAATCCAGGACTAACGGACATTAACTGTGAGTAGAGGCAATTTGTTGGCGGTTTTTGTCTCTGTATATAGATTGCTGAAAATACTTCTAATATAGAAAATGGCTGGCCTTGTCCTTTAATAACAGAACTGCTTTTATGTCTTCGGTCTTCTCTGTTTGGCTCACCTGAATTTAAGCAACTCGCCTACAAAGTCCTGTTTTTCTTAGGACACTTTTCTAAAAACTGTTCTAGTTGCTGAAACACAGGTATTTTTTAGTCTTTATTAAACCTCTTAGCTAAAATTACCAACTCTGTAATATAGTGCTCACATAGCTTTCACCAACAACTTGGAGATAGTGTGCTAAAAATAAATGCCCCTGTTGCAAAACTACAGAACTGCTCGGCCTCCTTCCTTAAACCGATATGTTCAATTAAACCACAAAAGTCAAGACATCTGACATTGTCAACTATATCAATTTGCAAGTGAGACATTCTTTGTTCACACCAGAAAGCCCTGTCATCCTTGAGTGTTTTAAAAGGACCAGTTCCACAAATCACAGCAAGTGGAGTGCGGACCCATGAATAACTAACATAAAAATAAAAAAAAGGTAAGAAACCTCCTTCGTCCTCTTAATCCATCCATCCATTTTCCTCCACTTATCCGGGACCGGGTCGCAGGGGCAGCAGTCTAAGCAAGGATGCCCAGACTTCCCTCTCTCCAGACACTTCCTCCAGCTCCTCCGGGGGGATGCCGAGGCGTTCCCAGGCCAGCCGAGAGACATAGTCCCTCCAGATGTTCCAAAATATTTCTCTTTAAATTGGCAATAAGATTTAAAACAGCCTGATACAGATGAATCATGACAACTGAACTAAGGACGCTGACTACAGACCTGTGCGCCAGACTGTTTGCTGAGAACTGAGGCTGGGACTCGACCTGACGAGACTCCCTCAGCTGTAGGAAGCACAGTCAACTACACTTTACTCCAGCATCACCTTGGATAAGATGGCAACAGCAGCTGAATGAACCTTTCCTCTGGAGTTGATTATGCGCAAATTTGGACAGAAACCTGGGATCCTCTGAAGAACCTTGCCAGTGAGGGGGCCCCCCAACCCCGTCTGTGTTTTTGTCCAGCAAACTCTTTCTCTGTCTGTCTGCACATCTACATCTGTCTTTGTCTGTGTTATGTTTGTCTGTCTCAGTTTCTGTTCATGCACACTTGTCTCTGTCTTTTTGCATGTTCTTGTCTGTCCATAAAAGTAAATGGAGCCATGAGCGTCTGATTTAAAAAGGTAAGGCACTAAACTTTAGACAGTCCTACAGGTGTGTGACATGAGATGCCACGACAAGCAGTGCTGATCGTGGCGTGGTTGTATGGCAGGACGCTCATAAGGTCAGGACTGACAAGATGTGGCTTTTTGTCTCTGTCCAACATGGTCGCCATGGCAATTTACAGTATATCTGTCTTTGCTTCTTGTATCATCCAAGTGTAAGAGTTTCGGTTATTAACCATCTGATGACCTCCATGATGTGTTTGCTGCTGTAGCACCTCCAAGACCCTCTCATAAAAGAAGTATTGAAGGGACTTATCTGTCTCTGTCTCTCTGTCTCTCTCCCTCTCCTACGTGGCCATCTACTCTGTGTTAGTATTGTGTCCTACAGGAGGCAGAGTTTAGTCGTTAACCATCTGACTTCCTCATGCCCCTCACCCGTTTTACCAGGGTCACATACAGTCAGTGTATCAGTCAGGCATTTTAATCAGCCTGCACTACTTTGGTTACTGGGGTAAACTCTGCCTGAGATCAGCATGAAGTTGCCTGTTACTCTGTGCTCACTTTATACTCTGACACATTAGATTGTCTGTACCACTGTTTAGAACACTGGCTTTCTCTTGTGCTCATTCAGGCCATAAATAATCTGCTAGAATACGTTAAAAATCTTTTGTCAAGTTAAATGCTAGATTAGATAAACTGGGGCTTTTTTCCCAAAATATAAACAGCACTTTGTATCTTTAAGTGCTGTTATAGAGACCAACAGTTTATTGTACTTTAGCGTTAGGCCTCTGGGTCATCTCACTCTGCCAAGTTTCAAGAGGGAGTCTCACTCTTCAAGTATGCTTGGTGAGGTTAGAGTTTAGCTTTTCGTATTCTTATTAGACTTTCCAGACATTGGGAGGCCTCCCAGCAGGGAAATGTATCCCACTTCTGCTGTGATGAGAATGACACCAATGATACTATGAAGCCTGATTGTCAAGTACACAGGTTGACACCATATTGGACATATTATTACTGAGTTTTACTCTTTTTAACTTTCTTATAGCAAGATTATACTGTGGGCTGAATTGTCTAAAGGCTAACAGGCTTTGTATGGGAAGAACTGAGTTCTGCAGGAAGAGCACCTTAGTTATTAAAGTGAAAATCGGCCCCTTGCACTACATCATGTCTTGTGAGCTCTTAGCTTGGCAGCATGAATTAGCCTGTCCTCTGTGCACTGCTCCACAGCACCCTAGTTGAGTATCTGAAAGCAGCAGTCAGGGAGAATGAAGCCACTGTGTGGGGAAAATGTGCAGGTAGATGGGCTATATTCTTTGATATGTTAGAGAAAAGTACATTGTACTTCCTGGTGGAAAAGTTGCAGTTTACCAAGCTGTTTTCTGTCCTGCCAGAGAAGCTGACATGAGACACTGGGATCCAGAAGTTGTTGTGTTCAGCTGTGAAGAAGACAAAGACCCTGCT